GGTTTCGCTATTGTTCACTGGTGTGAAATATTGTTGAATCCTTAAGTCGGCGAGCATTCCTCGAACCTCAGAAGACTTTAGGGCTGGATCATTATCAGAAACGATGAGACCCGGTTGTCCGTAGAGAGAAAAGTATTTAATTAACGCTTTCCTTATGTCTGGTGTAGATCTGGACTTTATTGGAATCAAGGATGCAAACCTTGAGAATGTGTCAACAGCCGAGAGAAATATACTTAGCTGTGATATAAAAATATCCATGTGGACAATTTCCAATGGTTTCTTGGGAATGAGAGTTTCGCCTAACTGGATTCGGTATGGCTTCCTCTCATATTTCATTTTGTTGCATATTTCGCACAAAATAACGTATTTTCTAATTTTTGATTTCATTCTGGGAAAGAAATGCCTTCTCAGAATTTCGGTATGGTTTTCCCGAATTCTTCGATGAGAGGTTTCATGAATTTGCACGATTAACAAATCTTGTTCATTCTCATCAGGGACATCAATAAGAATTTTCTGGGATATTTTTATTCGAAAAGTTCTACACCTACAAAAATAATTCTTATAGACCATTTGTACGGATTGCACCATGCTCTCAGGGCACATTATACAATTTTGCTTCTTGAGATCCATGCATTCTCTGAAAATTCTAATTAATGCGGGGACCCCGAAGTGGAATTTGGTAATTGTTCTACGATGCATTTTTGGAAAGATTGTTTCAAAAGTTTCTGCATCATTTTCTCCAATTTTCAAGATAATTTGATTATGGAAGAAATAAATTGGTTTTTCGGTAAATTCTATAAGATCTGAAGAGTCTGAATCAGCGGAACGTACAGAGTCTTCATCCGTAGGGTCATCTTCGTTAATGTTCATTTCATGAGTGATTCTAGAAAGAGCATCTACCACCACGTTTTGCTTCCCTGGTCGATGTTTGATTTCGAAATCAAACTCGAGAAAATCTCCACTTCACTAATCTGGTATTTGGTGTCTTCAGGTTTAGTGCATAGATAAGTGGTTGATGATCTATTTCCTTCCGAACAAATATGGTCGAAAGTGTTGTGTAGCCCACACTATGGCCGAAAGTTCCTTCTCTATGGCGGAGTAACCTTCTTCAGTCTTTGTTAACGTTCGAGATGCAAACGCGATTGGTCTGTCCTTTCCTATACAGCCTTGCGATAAAACTGCTCCGAGAGCAAAATTGCTTGCATCAGTAGTGAGGACGAATGGTTGATTGAAGTCAGGGTATTGCAATACATCACTTTGTGTAAGCAATTCCTTGCATTTTTCGAAGGTTTTCACAAATAAAGGTGTGTGTTCAATTACTTCACCTTTACGTAATTGAGCTGTAAGTGGCTTGGTAATTTTCGCAAAGTCGCGAATAAACCGCCCATAGTACCCGAGAATTCCAAGAAATCTCTTAAGTTGTTTCTGGTTTCTTGGAAAACCATTTTTTGATACCATCGATTTTATTGGGGTTCGGTTTGACTCCCTGATCGATGACGATATTACCTAGGAAAGCTACTTCTTTTCTAATGAATTCACATTTGTCTAACTGTAATTTTAAATTTACTTTTTCAAGGGCTTTTAATATTGTTTCCAAATTTTCTAAATGCTCCTGCAGAGAGGTAGAGAAAACGATAATATCATCCATATAAATGAGACAACATTTTCCAATATATTCTCTGAGTGCATGATCCATAACGCGCTGGAAAGTAGCTGGTGCGTTTTTTAAACCAAATGGCATACGCAAATACTCGTATAGACCATGAGGCCAAATCGAGCGTGCTAAAATATTGGCACTTGCCCAGTTTATCCAGTATCTCTGTGATATTGGGTAAAGGGTATTTGTCGTCTATAGTTTTAGCATTGAGCTTCCTATAGTCAACAACTAAACGCCATTTCCGTTCGCCAGATGCATCTGCCTGTTTTGGTACGATCCATATGGGTGATATCCAAGGGGATGTGCTAGGTCTAATGATACCTTGGTCGAGCATTTTTGAAATCTGGTTTTGTACTTTATCTTTATGGACAAACAGATACCTGTAATTTTTAGTTAAAGCAGGTAATTCGTTGTTGTTTATAGAATGTTTAACTACGTTTGTAAATGACAAGTTATCACCGTCCGTGTAGAAAACATTGGGATATTTTCGAAGCAGTCTAAGTAATTTTAAGCGTTCTTCTGAGTTAAGGTGATCAGTTCGCACCTCTTTTCCGATATCTTGTGCTATTTTAGTAATTGTAGGGGGAACTTTTGATGGGTAATCTATTACTTCAAAGTTATTTATTTCAGTGGTAATTTTTTCATAGTCTATTGTTTCTTCAGAGGGTTCTTGATGTATATTGACAAAGAGTAGATTGGTTTTGTTTTGGTGAACGCTGTATAATCCAGACGGGACATAAACTTTGGAAGTAATTTCTAAATCGTTTTTAAGAAAGAAGTCTCCCGAGTTAACAGAGATTGGGATTTCTTGAATCATATGCATTGGTTCATGAAAATTTAATTCAATTGTACCAGGATTCTTTGAGTTGTATAGTTGTATTGTCTAGAACAAGCGTATTTGCTGATGCATCAATCCATCGGAGAAATCATGGAACTTGAATAGGTGAAATTTCTGGCAAGGAATATTTTTAAAATATTTCGAAAACGGGTTGAAGAAGGTAGGTATATTGTTCTATCTTGTGTGATCCATTTATGTTCTTCACTTTGTGTTGTGAGCCTAAACGTATAGATTGCAAGGGGACGATTTCAGGAGAAATATAATTTTGATTAGCTCCTGTATCGATAAGTAGTTTAAGGGGAGGTTTTGATTTGGAAAGGATTTCTAAATAAGGAAGGAAACTCAATCCATTTCTTGTTGCCTCACATCTGAAGGAAAATTTAATTCTTCCTCCTGATATTGGTTTTCATTTTCGGTGAATTCCTCAGTGCCGACATCAACAGAATCAAGATATTCGTCATGCATATTAATTTGATTGCCTCTAACTTGTTTAAAATTTGAAGATGATGGTTTTTCCTGTTTTATGGAGGGGAACCGTGTTGCAGGTTGTATGGTATTCTGCATGTATGGTGGGATTTCTCTGTTTGAATTAAACGGTGGTTTTGATGTAGAAAAAGAATTTGTCGAGAATTGGGGTCGATGCGTATAGAACGCATTTTTCATTGGCTGAGGTCTAGATAATACAGGTGGATTTTGTGGTCCAGCTGGTTGTAGGTTATTGTGATACCATGCTCCATTTTGATTAGGAGGTGGTTGGAATCGAGATAATCTAGAAGGTTCTGAATTTGATTTTTGACTAACGTCCTTTTCGCAGTATTATCCTGATCTAGGGCACGTTGGTATGCTGAAAATAAACTATCAGGTCTACTGGTTCTGGTAAGTGCAGATATCGGATCATGTAACGCGTCAATGAAAGCATTGGTCATCATACTTTCGTATGTTGTCATGACAGTTGTGGAACAGGACTTGAGGTTATCGTCCAACATAACCTTAGCTCGAATATCTGCTAATAATCCATCGCAGTTGTAGTAAAAATCTTCTACGCTAAGATAACCATGCTTCATTGTGGATAGATTTCGTTTGTCACCAAATCTTTCTTTTAATGTGTGCTTTATGGCATCCCATTTGCACTCAGTATTGTTGCTGATTAAGGCTTCATTGGCCTTACCAGTGATTTTATCTCGAATAATTGATGTCCAGATAGGTATCACAGTGCGCGTATCACCATCTAGTACAAATTTTATTGCACACTCTAATTTTTGGTCGACCGAGGCAAGCCAAGATGGCAAAGCCTTGATTTCACCATTGTATCCTGGGATCATTTTAATCACGTCAGGAATACGCGTTACATCAAAATTTTGTTGTGGGCGCTGCTCAACGCTTCGCGGGGTGTTTTGCAACGATTCGATTTGCCTTCTTTGCTGAAGCAGCATCTGCTCCAATTCTTCGATTTTGTCCATAAGTGTCTCGGACATTTTTCTTGTTAACATGCACTAAAAAAAATATTCACTTCACTGCTTATAAATAATTCACTTTGCTACTAATTTATTTAGTTCACTAATTTATTTCTTGCTGGATTTATTATTTATTTTTTGTGTAGTTAAGGCTAATTCGCGGCCTAACTGTGATATTTTAGTCTATTGGTTACCACGGGTGGGGCCGCCAGACTGTGCTATTAGTAGTGTTTAGAGAAGGTCAGAAGTAGTGAACCTATGCCGGGTTTCTATTTCTGAATTGGTTTTGAAGGATAGGAAATAAGTACTAACGATTTACTTCGACCGATGTTCCTTCGATCTGGTTCTCCGGATTGCGCGTCTTCCGGTGCTGGTACAGATGTCCTCAACTTGGCGATGTCCTCTCGTCAAGGCGTTGATTTCGATAAACCGTCGATTAATCTTCACGGAACACTTGTAAAACAACTCGCGGATACTTATCACAATCCTACCGACTGCGCCAGTTATTAGTTCAGGCCTTCGGGGGGCGTTTTTAAAAAATAAAATTAGATTTACGAACTTACTCGACTGAAGGTCTGAACTAGAATGATTTATTATTCCAAAGCAAAGAGTTACAACGTGGTATATACTAAAGGGTTTAATGAAAAACGCTAAGTGCGCGAATTATTACTTATATGCTATCTATGTTTTGTCTTCTGCTGCTAAACGTCTCGTTGTCGCTGATGGATGGTCGCCTCGTGGAAAGGAATGGGAATGCTGATATACAGAAATATGATTATGCTGTTCGGATGCAGTTCTGCTGTTGTTGTTGTTGTTGCTGTTGTTGTTGGTGCTGGAGTGTCTTATTCTTGCTGATATCGACTGAAGTTCCTGTCGATAGTGTCATTGCTGTTTCTCGGATTTGTTGAATTGCTTATAGTTTTGGGTTCTGGTATGATTTCAGGAAAGTCCTGTACTTAACTTACATGCATTTTTGCATGGAGCAGCTTCTACCTGAATTTTGATACTTTGGATTGTTGAATTGTAATCATTATATTTTCTTTTTTTAAAGGTATACGCCGTTGTGGTGTCGCACGAACCTACTGGAGATTTGTCGCCAGCAGCAGTTAGTTATACAAATGGGTTTTACCAAATTCCAATTATTGGTAGGTTTCAACTGTGAAATGAAAATAAAAAATTTAGGTAATGAAAGCATAAACAGAACAAACAACATTTGAACAGTTACAGCAATAACCTCTGACCATTAATGTCATACCTTGCTGTTTCAATTAGAATCTATAATTGAATCATTTATAATAGCTCACCCACAGATGGTACTGCTTAACTACCATAATAATGGATTTAATTTATTTCTAGGTATATCGTCTCGTGATGCTGCCTTTTCCGACAAGAATATTCATGTATCATTTCTGCGAACAGTACCACCATTTTACCACCAAGCTGATGTATGGCTTGAAATGTTGAGTCACTTCGGATACACAAAGGTATGTTATATACGACTAAAAAAATCTACCTATGGTGAACTCAAAAAAATTTTTATGGAGGATTAGGTTTGATGCCATTATACCGAACGCTATTATACCGTATGGATTACTAGGTCAATCATCGTTTAACCGAAACTGAATTGTCAGTCATACTTCGGCATATGTCATCGGTATTTTATGAATTTGTATGTGCCATAATGTATCCTGGGTGCCAGAACCTTTCAAAGCCCTATGGAAAAAATTTCATGTTTTTTCTAGTCGAATTAAAATTAAGTTAGTTTTAAGTCTTACAATCCTCTGATTTTCCACTCCTGGATGTTTTTAATTTCCCTAGAAACCCATAACAACATTTTAATTTTTTTTCCCAAGGATTTTCTTAGTAACAAGTTTCAGTTATCTCATTCAAATGATTGATAAAGATGACGGGAATCATGCTCAATAAATTAGGAAGAAACCCAGAATTATTATCCAGGGTGGAAAAGCGATAAATTTAAACATTTTTCTAAATACATAAAATCTAAAATAATATATTTTGGGGCTGAGTTAGCGATGGGGGCCAGTTTCCCCCCTGTCTACGCCTATGTGTCCATTTTATCGAAAGAAACATTTCTTTCCTTTAATTTGGCGTTAAAATAATTGATATAGCTTACTCAGATATTTGTATTTTGGTAAACAAACATTTAGTGAAATTTAATATTTAGCTGCATCTAGAAAACTATCCTACTGAGATTTTTATCGATGGGCCCAATCTTTAGTGCCATAAGTCAACATCAGAGCCATTGTCTGGTTAACAGTTAACGTTAACGTCGTTAACTTCGACTTTGATTTTAACATTTTAAGCGCATTATCAAAATAGAAATTTCATAAAGATATGTGTTCCATGAAATAGAGATGTTCGAGTGCGGATATGCTAACTCGAAACCCAACTCGTACCTGACGGGTTTAGCTTGGGTATAGGTAATTTAAAAAAAAATCTGGGTCGGGTCGGGTACGGGTTCTTAAACACTTTATGAATCGGATACGTGTTGGGATCGGGAATTCAAACTTGCATACCCGACCATCTCTAGTAGTCAGCACTGGAGACAGTCATGCAGTCATCCAGCGTTAGAAACTCGTTGTAACCATAATGTCAGTTATAAATTTTTATATTTCTGTAATAGCTCATTTTATTATTGATTTAATCTTCAATAGATCCAAGAACATTGATGATTTTTTCCCTTGATTTGTTTTCCGTCGATCTTGTTTTCCGTACTGTTATAGCCAATGCTCCCACACCTGAACCCTACCTATCGATCCATCAACTCATGGACCGGGGACCAACGTCTTTACTTCCCTTCGGAAGGAAGGCGTGATTAAAGCCTGGCCTCTTGGGGTAAGAGGCAATCACGCTTACCACTACACCACCGGCGCCGATATTTTTGTTGATTTGATATGGTAACAACTGACCTTGCTCTCATGCAGATACCTACTATCCCGTAGAATTTTTGATAGTATTTGTGATATTGCAACTCTTATCTCATACTTTATTTGAATATTGTGATTTTTCATTTTAATGGTTAGACTTGCCATTGAGTTGACATTTTCTTCAATAACGGACCGTTTGCTAATAAAAATATCATAGGCTGAACGCTAATAGTAACGAGTTCAAATTTCATCCCCGGTCAACTATGTAACAAAAAAAATTTTTGCTGAATTATATTTTAACTGAAATGCCGCAAACTAATGTAAGTTTCAGTTAAAAAATACTTATCGGTAAAAATGTTGCAACGTTTTTTTTTCTTTGATTTGTTTTCCGTCGATCTTGTTTTCCGTGCTGAGTACCAATGCTACCGACGCCATGAAGGCAGCTCCCACACCTGGACCCTACCTATCGACCCATCAACTCATGAACCGGGGACCAACGGCTTTACTTCCCTTCCGAAGGAAGGCGTGATCAGAGATGTTATGCCTCAAGAACATCCCGGCGGCGCCGACTGGGATTGAACCCAGGCCTGCTGGGGTGAGAGGCAACCACGCTTACCAATACACCACCGGCACCGCTAAATGTTGCAACGTCTAATATACATTGATCCCCTTTAAATGCATTTGACAACTGGTTGGACATGGTTCAGTTATCGAACGTTGAGTGAATATGAACCATAATTACTCTTTCGATAATTATTGCATCATCACGACTTCTTTTTGCGGTTCAAATTCAAACGATTAGATATTATCCCACTTAATTTACGGAATAATTAAAAAAATAGTAATTTTAAAAAAATGTTACAGGTTATTGTCATTCACAGTTCTGATACGGACGGCAGAGCAATTCTGGGACGTTTTCAAACTACTTCACAAACAAATTATGATGACGTAGACGTTCGAGCAACCGTTGAAAGCATAATTGAATTTGAACCAAAGCTTGAAACATTCACAGAACATTTGTTTGAAATGAAAACAGCACAGTCCAGAGTATATTTACTCTACGCAAAGTATTTTAATTGCAATTTTATGTTATCAATAAAAGATTTAACCAAAATCATTTGTTTTTAGCACTGAAGATTCCTACGTTATCTTTCGCGATGCTGCACAAAGTAATATGACGGAGACTGGGCATATCTGGATTGTTACGGAACAAGCACTTCAGGCCAACAATACCCCTATTGGAGTTTTGGGTTTGAAATTAAACTGCTCTAATAATGAAAATGAGCACATAAGGGTAAGTAAAGTTGAATATTAATTAACTTACTAGGTGAATAAAAACAGTAATTGAAAAAATACGTTCAGTACGGATTATGAAAATAGCTATGAACATTCAACGTTGGAGATGATTAAAACAAAACACATAGGGGATATTAAAAAAAAACGTTCGTACATTGTATGCAATAACTATAAAAAAAAATCCAACCCATTTGGACTATTTCATAATTCGCGTTGTTTGTACGAAAACCTAGAGCATTCCCTTGATTGTTTTTCAAGTCCCTGAAAAATGACGCCATGCTGTAAGTGATGAATTCTACAAACTACTCTCAATTTTACAGGATGCAATATATGTTTTGGCTTCTGCTATCAAGGAAATGATAGTCCATAACGAAACAATCACTGAAGCACCGAAAGATTGTGATGATACGGGCGCAATTTGGGAATCAGGTAGTTTTTTTTTTAAATGAGCAACACGTATTTTCAAGCATTTCCTTTTACAGGGAAAAAGATGTTCAACTACCTGAAAACACGAAATATAAATGGTGCAACAGGACAGGTAAGTGAATTTTGTGTATAATAAAATCTTATTCCGGTTGTCCTAAATGTTCGAAAAAGCATTCTCAAACCTAATTCACGCTTGAGATTCTCAGGCATATTCACGAGCCCACACTCACAGCGCCAACGCCAACTCTAGATATACATTTAAAAATGTCCTATCTGCATTGATCGATTCTGTTCCATTAATAACTCAGATGCTAAACCTTTCCCTGTTGTATTTGATGTTTTGAACGCTAGATAGAACCTCTTTTATCACACTATGTAGTCAAAATAGGGCGTAATATGTTTTTATAGCAATGGTTTTCAAATCAGTAAGTCGATGAAGAGTATCGATCTAAGCAGATAGGGCCTTTTGAAATGTTCATCAAGAGTTGTTAGCATACTAACATGTTTTGTTAATTTTCCATCAAAATTCCAAAATATAAAGAAATTAATTTTTGAACCGGAAATCTCATCGGTGATTATTGTGTTGTTGAATTTAACATGACAAAACTCGTATATGAACAAACTCATGCATGAGATTTGAATTGTTGAGTTTATCTCAACACAGATTGTCATGTACTGGTTAAAATATTCGTCTTTATTCCATTTAATGCAAGTTACCAGCCACTGATCCACAGATCGCCTTCAAGCTGGTATGGTGGGTCCACCTTATCTGCTGCGTCCCTCTTCGTTTAGTTGCAATCAGGTCGATTTCGAGAACCCTTTTAACATGGTCGTCGACCGGCATTCTAACGACGTGGGTGGTTCTACAAGCAGCTGATGCAATTCACGATTCATTCACCTCCTCCACGTTCCATCTTCCATCCGCACTCCACCGTAGATGGTACGCAAAAAACCTTTCTTTTGAAAATATTGGACCAGAATGTCCTCCTAAGTCCAAAATAAGCGCCATTCCCTGTCACAACGCGTCTTTGAATTTCTCTGCTGATGTCATTACCGCCGGTTTTTAGTACTGAAATGTATCATGTATAGCGGAAATGCCGGCTTCGCCAAAACCTTTACCTATCGTCAGGGGTGTAACGAACATCCTTAAGTGCTCAAATTTGATTAATCATTGCTCTGAAACATAATGCATACTCATTTAAAAAAAAACTCTCAGGGCTCACTTCATTTACCTCCTGATGATAATAGGTAAAGGTATTGCCGAAACCTTTCCCATATATAGTTCGATACAGCATGCATCTTAAAATAAATAATTCGTACTTTTGGCCAACTATCAAACTAATCCTAGTGCTATAAAAATTGTTCTTGATTGTGGTACTTTTTTAGTATTTATAGAAGGTGTTTTATTTAAAACAGGTTGCATTCGACAGTAATGGAGACAGAATATATGCTGGATACCACGTCATAAATGTGCAGCTTCCACCATCATCGCTCAAGCAAAATGTGAAAGTTGGAAGCTTTTTCTACGATGAAGAGAAAAGAAGGATGAAACTCAAAATAAACGACACCGTCTTGATTTGGCCAGGAAACACTGAAAAAAAGCCTGAAGGAATAATGATACCAACTCATTTGAAAGTACTTACCATCGAAGAAAAACCCTTTGTGTACGTGCGTAAACTGCTAGACGATGAAATTGATTGTGAAGATGAGGAAATCGTTTGCCCACATTTCAATTCAACTGATGGAAATGGTAATACATAATCTCGAAGAAACAGAAAAATGCAATCATCATTCTTTTGAAATTTCAGAAAAAGACTACTGTTGCAAAGGATATTGTATAGATTTGTTGAAGGCACTGGCTCAACGAATTAACTTTACCTTTGATTTAGCCTTATCTCCAGATGGCCAATTCGGACACTATCAACTAAAAAATCATACTACGGGAATAGGAACTAGCGTAAAAAAAGAATGGAACGGACTAATCGGTGAACTAGTAGCCGAAAGAGCGGATCTAATTGTAGCACCCTTGACTATCAATCCCGAAAGAGCTGAATTTATTGAATTTTCGAAGCCTTTCAAATACCAAGGCATTACAATTTTGGAAAAGAAGCCATCTAGGTCAAGTACGCTGGTAAGTTTCGAACTGCTTAAGCTGACACACGTCTGACGTTTTTCGCCCTAAAAAAAATAATTACTATCATGTCGTCCATTCCCGATAAACTTTTCAGATATAGCTTCAAAACGAAAACAATTTTTTATATGTTTAAAATTTTAGAATAAATTTTGTTTCAAATGTACTCATTTTATGTACTTACCCCACTATATTCTTAAACATTTGAATAAATTGTTTATGAGGAAGTTTGAACGTACTGAGAGTCATCGGTAAGAGACGTGTGTGTCAGAAAATTTGCGAAAAAAATCTAAGGGCACCGGTGGGATTCAAACCCAGAAGTTCCATTCAGCACACGGGTGCATTGCCAATTATACACCGGCGGACCTATACCCGAGCAGGAACGAATATCTCTATACCTTAAATTGGTATGGATGAGCCTGACATAAGAGGTAAAATACCAAAAAATAATACCAAAAAAAAATGTTCCCACAATACAAGTCCAATACCAAATTATGTTAATGCAATACCAAAACAATACCATCCAGGTATGTTTTTGGTATTCAAATATCAATGTTTGGTATTTACAAAGTATTTTCCATGTAATTTTTTGGTATTATTCTTTGGTATTTTACCTCTTATGTCATGCTGGTCAATACCAAATTTTGGTATCAGATCAGAATCAGGTATTCATATTAGTTATTTTCTCCTGCTCGGGTATGGTCTACGGATGTATTTGGCTAATGACATTTGAGTTTCGAATCCGTTTCCAAAGCTAGTCTTTCTGCGCAAGCGTTCTCTAGTACACAACAATCGTCTATTATCGACGAGATGTGCTTGTACCGCAACCGTTCAGTATAAGTCGATGTGAAGAAACACAGTACATATTTACAAACTTTCTCATAAACAATTAAATTAACTACAAAGTCGCTAAGCCCTAAATCATTTGATTAATAATTTGTAGTAGATTTAATTGTTTGGGTCGGTATCTCATCACGCTGCCTACGTAGTTTATGAACAGCCCCTATCCCAAGTAACACACTTCAGTCACATCAAGTTCAGTCCTGTAATGGTAAATTTGGAAAAGTGGTCACGCACGCAAATTTGGCATTGGGCATGAGAACTGATATAATTATTTTGGTAAATATTTTACTTTAATGATGGAGTTTTTTACAGATTCATTTCGGTAAGTTTTTTTTAGGAATTAATTTGTCAAGATCGGATGATATGTATATTCTTTTTTAAGCTTGATTGATGCTTTTTTATAACAGGCTAATGCTAATCAATAAAACCTAATATTGTGACATTTGACTTGTTTACATGTTATAAGCCTATCTTGATGCAATTTTTCTGGTCCATTAATATTATAGCATGTTATACCTCTGTAGTCTGAACAAGGCATAAATTAGATGTTACAATATTGGTTTTCATTGATGCTAAAACGCATTTATTGTGGTTTGATATGCGTTCGTCACATATTCTTTTTGCAGAAAATCTATCTTGAAATGCTTCGAAAATATAAATACCCTGCAAACCCATCTCCAGGCGCTAAACAAGATTCTAGTTAATCATGGTAAAGCAGTCTTGACCATCTTTCGTGAAAATAATACAGTACCAGACATAAGATTTTCTTTGCCACTGAAAAGTAAAAAAAAAACTGTAACTTTATCGGATGACGGTGAATTTTTTTGAAAAAATGGCTGCTAGTTGATCAAGTGTTTTGAGCGTAATATGATGAATCTGAAATAAGTTTGAGCATTTTTAGCAAAATGCTTCTTTTAGGAATAGCCTATTTATAATTGGAATTTCCTGGAGTATAATGAACCGTCCTTCCTTTCCTACAAAGTTTTTTTATATGCTTCAAGTTTTACTAATATTCAATGAGTACGAAAAACGTTTTATCAGTTGGATTGTTCATCTGACAAATTAAGCAAGGCTATACACTTTTGTCTAATCTGGGCTTTCACTCTGCTGACAAAAGTATATAACCTGCCGTTTGAAATGAGGTTATATAGTTGTGTCCACAGAGAGAAAACCCAGATCGGACCAAAGTATATAAGCTTGCCTAGTTTTAAAGATGTAAAAAAAAACTTTGTACATACCAAACCGATTTATGTTAACGGAAAACGGAAAATTTAATGCATATGAAAGAATATGTCTTGACCATCAATCAGCAAAATTTTAGCATATTTGATTCAATGTAGGAAATTCCATTTTTAAATAGGCTACTCCAAAAAGAAGCTATTTGCTAAAAATGCTCAAACTTCTTACAGCTTCAACCGATTATACTCACAACTGAACCGATACATTTCGAATACATGATCAATCAGCATCCAAAATTTCAGAATATTTTATGGAGTGGAGAAATGGCTCTTCAAACTTTTTTGAAGAGGATTAACATCACGATGTTATATACTTATGTCCGGTACTGAATAGCATTGTGATTATTTCTTTATTAAGGGGACTTTCAGCCTGTATAACATATTTACAAATAGGGTTTCTATTTTTTTTTTTTCATGAAATATGTTGCAAGTGTTACTTGGGTTACCACCTGTCCTAAACAGCTACAAGTGTTCTTGTAGCACTTCCACAATTGGGTTCTTTAAGGGTATTGAAGTAAATGCATATTCGTAATAAAATAAAAAGTGGCACCGAAATCCAAAATTTCATCAATTTAGATACCCTGGAACTAGTATAATAAATGAAATTACATTAGCAAAAATCACCATCTTAGCGCCCCTCTGTGGGACTTTGTGTGGGAGCGAGCGGTCAGTTTGTTAGTGAAGTTAGGATTATGCTTGAAATCTTGATTAAAAAATCTATATAAAAGTCTATGGATTTGAAAAACACATCTTTGCTAGGTAGTACAATAGACCCAGCAATAGAACAATTAATTGACCATGCATAATCGGAACTCTAATGAACACTACATCAAAGTTTTACAGAAATTTACTCACAGTTTTTTATGTGGCTCACAGAAAATTTTCAAAAAAAAATCAGTTATTAATACATTTATAAATTATCGACATCAAAAGAAACAATCAATATTTTAAGCATTTCCTTATGCTTCTGTATTTGTCTAATATTAGGTCATTTTAAATGAATATAATATTACCTGCTAATCTTTTTTGAAAGTAAATTAAACTAAATAAATCAAACAAGTATTAATTTGGAATGTCATTAAAACAATATATTTTTAACTCTATTTTTGTTTTCATTTACTGGGGACAGTAATTTTTACTGGGTTTAGAGGCAGCTGAAAAAGCCAGTAAACTTAAAACATACACACACACATATATATATATATATATATATATTTATATATATTTATGCAGGACTTGATTATTGAGAAATAGTATACATTCCGACTTTAACAAACGTTTCTTTTCAATGACAGTGTATTCCTATTATGACATTCCATATATACATTTTCCCAAAACTGGTAAATTAATTTCCCTTTTTCTATTCCAGGTATCGTTTTTGCAGCCATTTAGTAATACTCTATGGATATTAGTGATGGTCTCCGTACATGTAGTTGCACTGGTGTTGTACCTTTTGGATAGATTTTCTCCTTTTGGACGATTTAAATTAACTACCAACGATGGAACTGAGGAAGACGCACTCAACTTGAGCTCTGCAATCTGGTTTGCATGGGGAGTCTTACTGAATAGTGGAATTGGTGAAGGAACCCCTCGGAGCTTTTCGGCACGAGTGTTAGGTAATTTTTTAGAATGTGTAATGTTCAATTTCAAAAGTATGCTCAAGTTCTAAGGTCAAGCATCCGATATGGTTTTATAATCATATGTAAGTGATAAACATTAAATTAATTGTTTAATAGCACTATTTTACTATCATACCTGTGAGCAGGGTGCCTTCCATTCATTTTGGCTAAAAAAAAATGTTTTATGAGTTGGTTGGAAATGCTAACATGAAGCTTTAGAGTGATAATGTATTAGCTAGAGAATGATCTATAGAAGAGGGTAGGTGGATAGTTCCGTTAGAGTACGACAGTATGAAAATTGAATAGAAGTTGAAAATTAGTGAAGGGCCATTAATGCGACAGTTTTTAAGGGGAAGCTTACCGGCCCGAAAATAAAAAAAATATTTTCGGTACATTTTTATTTTTCTAAAAGTATTGCAAAAAAATATCAGAAATCCAAGAAAATCAGTTTCTTCCTTAGATTTTTGTCAAAAATCACATGTAAAAATTTTTTTGCATTCTCATCATGAAAAAAAATGAACTCTCAGCAAAACCGAAAAGTCGATGTTTTATGGTTTTTTTGAGTCGAACTTTATGCAATTGATTAATAACTTATAAAAAATGTTTTTGCACGTGAATTTTCTTTGAAAAATTAAAAAGGTTTTTATTATCTTTTCCAATATTTTTAGAAAAATCAAAACGTAATTATTTTTTTCGGAGCGGTGAGCTTCCCCTTAAAGTCAAACGCACATCTTTTGCCTAACCCGTACAATGTACGCGGAGACTTGCAGTATGTCTTCAAGTCTACAGGCAAAAGATGTGCGTCCTCTTTTTGCTCATAAACTGACTGCGGCTGTGGAATAGTTCTAGCGACGTTTCATCACTACCTAAGCCCCACGTTGCGAGAGCATTTCCAGTCGATGGTTTGTTATAATGCAATTCTTCTTTACCTAACTATTGTGTTGCTCGAATTTTGTGTGTGCGGATTTTAAACGGTACACCCTTTATGGAATAATAAGATATTATGATGATATTTTGTATGTGTAAGTAACAAAAAAAGATTGTAAAGTTTGTGTGTGGGGATGTGATGTGTATACCTTTTTTAAGAAGGGTAAAAATGTAGTCTTTAAATAGGGAACGTCAATTAATTATGTCACGTAAAAGGCCAATTTTCAAGCCGCTTCCCTCCCCCTTTGACACGTTTTATAAATGCACCTTAAAAAAGTAAAAGGTTGTGTCCTAGACACGACTGCAGTATGACGTAGAACCACACAAAATTGATGTTTTTCATGCATTTTTGACTATTATACTTTATCTTAAAATTTTCAAGTATTTCAATGTTTCGGTTATGGTTGACTCAAAACAATTTACACATTTTTCTTGACAAATATCCATGTGAAATTCCACATGATTTTCATTTTTCATTAGGTTCAGAACCTGATAGGATTTCCCGCAGTTTTTTATGAATGGGGCGGAGCAGAAAGTTTCTTTTGTGCAGAATATGTAAAATAGGATGGACTTTGGATGTTAATATAATTGCATATATAGAGGCACCAGATATGTTTTACCGTCAGTTGTGTGTAATTCAATGCAATTTTTTGTTCAAATTTGGTAAAACTTGGTTTTACTAATGATTGTGGTTTGTTTAAAATTTATTTCCCGGAAAAAAGGGATCGTCAAAGTCTGTCTCGCTTTCGGGTTATTGTTGAGGGGGGGTTAGAAGAGGTATTTGTGGGGGGGGGGGGTAGGAGGGGTTTGATGGTGGGGAGAGGGGTAGGAGAGGTTTGATAGTGGTGGGGGGGGGGTAGGAGAGGTTATTGAGGGGGGGGGGGTGAGAGATTGTTGTGAAGGGCGGAGGGGGTTTACATTATTGCTTTTCCTCATTGTGGTCACGCCGTGACCCACCTTAAGCCGCTGATTTGGTCCTGCTTGCTGCAGGACCAAGCGCCACGCCGTCCGAAGCGTTAATGAGCAGTGGCATGAGAGCAGCGCTGATTTATATCTTTTCAGGTTCAAGCAGAATGATGTGCAACCAAGTGGTATTCGTTTATGATGACTGGGTTTGGGAAAAAGGCTTATTTCATGAAATCAGTGATAAAATTATCATTTGTACATTTTCAAAAGTTTAATTACAGAAAAATTGGAAAAATATTTATTTCAACAGGTTCGTAATGTAATATCCTATCGATTGGCGTATTTGGATTTTAATTTCATCTATAAATGACAAAGTTACAAGCGTTCAAAACCTAACACTCCTTCACCACACATATTTTTTGACTTGCACCCCAGTATAGTCGACAAAGACGTAGTTCTACGTCAAAAATGTATGGATCGTCACGGTTTCCCCCCTCCCCAAAAAGTCGTGACGTAATTTATGATCGTTCCTATTCTCGATACCTCAAATATCATTTAAGGTGTGGTCGAGCAATAATTTTATGATTTAAACCATATTGAAACCTGTGTCTCAATGTTGAAGACTCTTTGTCTCACTGTTCCTACCTAATGGTTGTAACTAAATTAGATTAGCAGCACAATTAATCATCATTAAAAAAAAGCGATATGAGCAATAAAAAAATCTCAAATTGGCTACTAAAAACTACAGGGGTGCACCAATAAACAAAAAAAAGTTGCAATAGAAATGAATAAAAAGGCAATAAACAAATAAAAAGCTTCTTTTAATAATTTGAATGTGAGCGGTGAAAATGGCAAAAAGGGCAACAATAAATAGAATACGCTCAATTAAATAAGGATGAATCTCCACTAAATTAGGAAATTTGAGCACTAAATAACTCACCTACGTCACCTGCAGTTGAACATATTTTCCCATAAAAGTGGCAAAATGAGCAATGTCATATTGAATAACCGCAATAAATAAATCTAAAATGTCCCACACAAAGCGCACAGTTATCACTGTTTAAATCCAAACATGCTGTAAAATCGTGATTACTGAAAAAGTTCCAGAAACCAGGAGATACATGTATGCTTGAACATGAGGATGAGCCATCGTAAAATATAATTCGTTCTTAAAGAAAAGAAAATAATGCATACAGGAAAGTAAAAATGAGCAATTAAAAACGAACACTGCGCAATTTCAAATAAAAAAAAAATCCAATGCTATCCAGGAAATATTCTTTTAAATTGAAAGTTTATGAGCCAATAACTCAGATCAATTTCCATACGGTATTTTCAAGACAGCGATAAGTAATGATACGTGTCTCAGCTAACAAAGGCAATGTCGATAAAGAAGATTAACGAATGTGGGTCTCATTGAAAAATATACCATTAAACAAAATCAAAAGAGCACTTAAAACAGCTGTTTGAGCAATATATACGTCACAAAAGAGCACTAGAAAATGCCGTTTGAGCAATATAAAGGTAAAAAAAGACACAAAAAGCACAATTAATGTCCCAGGGAAAATTTCAAAAACGCTCAACAAAAAATAAGAAATGAGCAAGAAACGTATAAAATTAGCACATTGAAAAATAAATTGAGCATTTTAAAGGCCATGAAGGTCACTGAGAACGAAATCAAATGCAAATTTTCATCGAACCACAGACAAATAGACATAACACTCGCATCTTGTACATCGAACACGCATTTAACGGTCAACTTAAATATGTGTTAGTTGATAGCACCTCCGCCGGTGGCACCCATAGTTAATTTCCTTGCGTTTGACGTTTACCATCTGTTGAGCGTGACATCTCAACAGATGGCGGTAGTGTTTTAGTGACGATTGTTTACAGTGGAAACTATTCAATGTGTTATGTCTGTTTGTCTGTGATCGAACTATCGCCTCATTTTCTTTTTCAACAATCAAATGAAGGGGTTGAAGGCAAAGGGATGCAAGTGATTTTGATCGATTCTTGATAAAGGAGGTTCTCATCTGGCATCCAGAATGGCATACGCATCAAAGAAAGTTATTGCTGACTCACTAACAAAAGAGAAAGTCGATGAAGAGAAGCAGTCAAAGTTACTTGCACCCCTTGCCTCCAACTTCCTTAACACAAGGACGCCCCGTTTGGGTAAAGTAAACCTAGATTTGGGCAATCTGATCTTAGCGTGTAGAATGCAAGTGACAGCTGTTGCGCGTCTTGTCGTAAACAAAGCAAAGCCGCCACAGGTTTTCAAAAGATATTGTTTTCGTTCTTAGTAACCTTCATGGTCTATAAAATGCTTAATTTATTTTTCAATGTGCTAATTTTATACGTTTCTTGCTCATTTCTTATTTTTTGTTGAGCGTTTTTGAAATTTTCCCTGGGACATTCATTGTGCTTTTTGTGTCTTTTTTTACCTTTATATTGCTCAAACGGCATTTTCTAGTGCTCTTTTGTGACGTATATATTGCTCAAACAGCTGTTTTAAGTGCTCTTTTGATTTTGTTTAATGGTACCTTCTTCAATGAGACCCACATTCGTTAATCTTCTTTATCGACATCGCCTTTGTTAGCCGAAACACAGTATCATTACTTATTACTGTCTTGAAAATACCATATGGAAATTGATCTGGGTTATTGGCTCATAAACTTTCAATTTAAAAGAATATTTCCTGAATATCATTGGATTTTTCTTATTTTATATTGCGCAGTGTTCGTTTTTAATTGCTCATTTTGACTTTCCTGCATTAATTATTTTCATTTATTTAAGAACGATTCACATTTTACGATGGTTCATCCTCATGTTCAAGCATACATGTATCTCCTGGTTTCTGGGACTTTTTCAGTTTTTAATAACTATTTTCATTTTCTTTTTGGGGAAATAATCACGATTTTACAGCATATTTGGATTTAAACAGTGATAACTGTGCGCTTTGTGTGGGACATTTAAGATTTATTTATCGCGGTTATTCAATATGACATTGCTCATTTTGCCACTTTTATGGGAAAATATGTTCAACTGCAGGTGACGGACGAACACTTGAAGAAATATTATTATTTAAAAATTTATTTTCAGCTCTTCAATGATGAAACATCTTTTGAGTTCGTTGATGACGGAACATCTTTGGATTTATAACGTAATGATTAGTTTTTCTCAGTCTTCACTCAAGTTAGATCCATTGTTTTAAATAAGATAATTTTATTTTCAGATCGTTGAATATTTGAATATATGACATCATTAGGTTTACAAAATAATAATACACTTTTTTCAGTTTTCATTCATGCGGGATGTATGGATTTTAATTATTTAAGCTTGCTTTCAGCTCTTCGATGATGAAACACCTCTAGGATTTTATTATAATTTTTCATTTATATTATTGAATTTTGCATTTATATTATAAATATTCACTTTTTCAGCTTAGAGATGAACTAGCCTACAGAAGTTAAAGTAAAGTTAATGTAAAGTTAATGTAAAGTTAAAGTAAAGTTAGAGTTAAGTTAAAGTTAAGTTAAAGTTAAGTTAAAGTTAAGTTAAAGTTAAGTTAAAGTTAAGTTAAGTTAAAGTTAAGTTAAAGCTAAGTTAAAGTTAAGTTAAAGTTAAGTTAAAGTTAGGCTAAAGTTAAGTTAAAGTTAAGTTAAAGTTAAGTTAAAGTTAAGTTAAAGTTAGGCTAAAGTTAAGTTAAAGTTAAGTTAAAGTTAAGTTAAAGTTAAGTTAAAGTTAAGTTAAAGTTAAGTTTAAGTTAAGTTAAAGTTAAGTTAAAGCTAAGTTAAAGTTAAGTTAAAGTTAAGTTAAAGTTAAGTTAAAGTTAAGTTAAAGTTAAGTTAAAGCTAAGTTAAAGTTAAGTTAAAGTTAAGTTAAAGTTAGGTTAAAGTTAAGTTAAAGTTAAGTTAAAGTTAAGTTAAAGTTAAGTTAAAGTTAAGTTGAAGTTAAGTTGAAGTTAAGTTAAAGTTAAGTTAAAGTTAAGTCAAAGTTAAGTTAAAGTTAAGTTAAAGTTAAGTTAAAGTTAAGTTGAAGTTATGTTAAAGTTAAGTTAAAGTTAAGTTGAAGTTATGTTAAAGTTAAGTTAAAGTTAAGTTGAAGTTATGTTAAAGTTAAGATAAAATAAATTTAATATCATTTTATATTCTGTTTATACTCACGAGTGCGAGTGTGTGTGCGTGTGTATGCGCCCGTATGTATGTGTTTGTGTACCTATTATAAATCACTACAATCAGCATTAGTTTACCAAAAACGATCCCGGCTGCTGCAAACCTTTCCCCACATCCAACATCCCAGTGATTTCTCGTGGAAGCGCAGAGGATTTCTCGGTTTCCTTCACAGCGAGTATCACGTCAACACATTCCTTCCCATTCCCTATTGAACCTGCATTCGGACACGGCCGGCGCTGGTATTGCTAAATATTAGATCTTCAGTTTTTACACATTGAGGATGAATGTTAGTCCCAAACATCATCTGTTGGTTCTCTGTGTAATTGCAGCTGATCTGGTAATAACAGAGTAGCAACCGTGGGCGGTCAATAATGCTAAAAATATGTTCAACTGCAGGTGACGTAGGTGAGTTATTTAGTAGGGGAGAATGGTATAAAACGCATCCCCTGGGCAGAACGCACCAGCTGACTTTCATTTGTGTTTTTCATGGCTCTTACGTAACTTTTTTGTTGTCTTATCAAGCAGCACTTCTAGCATAGCATCTGAACTCAAAATCCTGCATGATAAATCCTTGAATTGGATTAAAAATTCCAAGAAAAACTCAAAAGAAAATGAAAAAGTGCGTCTTACCCCGGGGGTGCGTTATGTACTGTTCTCCCCTACTCAAATTTCCTAATTTAGTGGAGATTCATCCTTATTTAATTGAGCGTATTCTATTTACTGTTGCCCTTTTTGCCATTATTAAAAGAAGCTTTTTATTTGTGCATTGCCTTTTTCTTCAATTTTATTGCAGCTTTTTTTTGTTCATTGATGCACCCCTGTAATATTAAGTGGCCAATTGGAGATTTTTTATTGCTTGTGCTTTGTTAATTAGGGTACGTATATATTTTAGTCAAATTAGATTACAAGCAATCCACCTGAAACTTTTTTTTTTTAATCAACTAGAAACCTATACCATTCGAATGGAGTCATTTGTAGCTTTTATAAAAATACAATGAAAAAAATGTTGGACAAAAACTGTTTTATTGTTGTCTACTTTCCCGTACAACCACATTTTTAGCATGAACAATAGTCATCAGCAAAAAATAACATATGTCATGGAATTATCTAATAATGGTCAACAGAATTTTAAGCTTGGGGAATTTATTTGTATTTCTTTGTTTAACAGGAATGGTTTGGGCAGGTTTCGCAATGATCATTGTTGCATCTTACACTGCCAATTTGGCTGCTTTCCTTGTGTTGGAGCGACCGAAAACGAAGTTATCTGGAATTAACGATGCACGCCTTCGTAATACAATGGAGAACTTAACTTGCGCAACAGTTAAAGGATCTGCTGTTGATATGTATTTTCGCAGACAAGTTGAACTCTCTAACATGTATCGTACAATGGAAGCAAATAATTATGATACTGCTGAACAAGCAATTCAGGACGTTAAAGATGGGTAGTTTGAATCTGTGATATTTATTGATACTTTAGCTAACATCCTCAATTTCAGAAAATTAATGGCATTTATATGGGATTCTTCACGTTTGGAATACGAAGCAGCTAAGGATTGTGAGTTGGTTACGGCTGGAGAATTATTTGGAAGAAGTGGATATGGAATTGGCCTTCAAAAAGGGTCTCCTTGGACAGATGCGGTTACGTTAGCGATACTGGATTTTCATGAGAGTGGCTTCATGGAATTACTTGACAAAGAATGGATCTTCCATGGGAATATCCAGCAATGTGAACAATTCGAAAAAACTCCAAATACATTGGGTCTTAAAAATATGGCTGGAGTCTTCATTCTTGTTGGTGCTGGAATCGTTGGAGGAATAGGGCTTATCATAATCGAAGTTATTTACAAAAAGCACCAAATAAAAAAGCAAAAGAAAATGGAAATAGCCCGTCATGCTGCCGATAAATGGAGAGGAACTATAGAGGTAAATATTACTCATTTAAGTTAGGTCAATCTAAATTAAGATTCTATTTCCCCTATTAATTTCCATGTAAAATCAGCTTCTTTATAAAAGAGTTAAAATTTTGTGATGGAATTCGGAAAATATGGAAGCCTTTTAGTTCGGTGGAGAAAAAGCTTCATTCTACTGTGTACTTATTAACGCAATTTATTTCTGATTTATTTTTAGAAACGTAAGACCTTACGTGCTTCCCTTGCGATGCAGCGACAGTACAATGTAGGTCTGAATTCCGTTTCCAAATCAATTAGTCAAGCTGTTGACAAAAATCGCTATCCAAAACTCAATCCATTGTCACGTGCACCAGAAAGAGCATGGCCCGGAGACCATGAAATAGCTCGCAATCGTAGAAACAATGATAATTCATACAAGCCACCGCCAAGATATATGCCAACCTACGCTACTGATGTATCTCATCTAGTTGTTTGAATAGACGAGTTAGTATTCGGCTTATAAGTGTATGAAGTGTATGTGAAAACAAAACGGACGACTAATGCCATGTTCAAATTAAGGTGTTATAATATGTTAAAAGACTAACTTGATGACATTTTTCTTGTCGATGATTATTGTAACATAAGTCATTGAAACACAATATTAAAAAAAAAAGCATTATGTTTAATGACTAGATTAATAAATACAGGACAGCTAAACATGTTTAATTTCATAAGAGAAAGATATATTGACGGTTCGAATCCAGTATAGCGGAATCTTTGAATCTTGAACTGTGGGGCTTAAAAGACTTACTATGGTCAAGGGACTAACACGCCGCCATCTTTTTGAAGACAGCATAAAAGTGAAAACAAAGGAATCAAAGCTAGGCCCAAGCGTTATTCTCGCTATGGCTACTTGCTATACGGTGTTACACGACAAAAAACTGTTCAAGTGACCTATTGTAGATTGTATGTCTAGTCGAGTACACCGTGAAATCACATTTGAAATTGTTATTGTGAAATTAAAAACAACCCAAAAATTGAAAGTTATTGTAAAAACGATTTTTGGTAAGTTCCCGCATACCGCACACTATCATTTTTAATTTTCAAACGGCAAAGATAAAAAAATATACACATTTATGGTTAGTTTAGTTAAATTCGCCACGATAGAATGGCGCAATGGGCAGGCAATGGGGATTGCTAAGCTTCCCCTCTCTGATGAACCACTACATGAGAAAACCAAAGATCTAGTCCAGCAGTGATAGTATCACACTTGTTACTCCTTTAATTGAGATCCGCGTCGTAGTACGCTTACGTATAGGCACTGACGTTTAAGAAAGTGCCCAACGGTGCTCCTATTATTTGCGTGACAAGCTTTCATTGTTGTTTTCATTGAGGTATCACTCAGGTAAACATCATTTTTGTACATGGTATTGTAACTAATCTTATATGTGCTTCATTTTGATTTGGGATAAATGTTTGAACTATGGCTCGGGATTTCCACTGTGGCGTGCTTCTATTGTGACTTACCCATACGTATTTTTGTGGTGCGACATAGTGGAAACGTTAGTTGGAGCATATACCCTATATAACTTAAAAATCAGCTAGGAAACTAACTTCAAAGTGAAGCATTTTACTCACTTGAAGGTGTCACCTGGTGTAAGCGCTTCAGTCCAGCACCAATAACGCTATGCAAAATAAATACGTAACCCTATCACCAAACACAAAGGAAGTCTTCTGTAGCAGGTAGAAATCACACATCGTGGCAACAGTGCCATGAACGAACGGGATGAATTAGAAAGAATCTGTTATGTACCTGCTTTTGTACACTACGCGCTGCTCATCATTGCACACGGCACAATAGTAAATATGAGGCATCGTCTGTGTAGAATACATAGAAGGAGGATACCTATAAAAACCGACGCAAACTCAACAAGAGGGATCAGTTTCATTTCAACCATTGATGTTAATACACAAGTTCTAAATGCGCAAATATAGTTTTAGTTTAGTTTAAATCAGTGTTTTTCTCATCCATCCGGTCACATCCAGAAGCAAGTGGTTTTACAAATACAGTCCACATCAGTTGTCTGCAGTTTGTTTGAGTGGTCCACCCATGAGCCATTTGTCTGCGGACAAACAAATCCAAATCCAGCCACAAGACAGCAAGCTGCATTCTTCCATCATCAAGGGCCAAGCCTAGGCCCAAACATTGGTCCTTCGAACCGGATCGTTCCTGCTGCCACCGTCGCTTCTGGTGAGATTATTGGTTGTGAAAGAGTGAAAAGTGAACACGAAAGAACACTTCCACGTGTCATACCTACGTTCGATGGAAAATATGAACACTGGGAGAGATTCAAGATTATGTTCCAGGATGTGGTGAACCGAACGAACGAATCCAGTCGCATAAAGCTGTACCACCTCGAAAAAGCATTGATCGGAGACGCCACTGACATAATAGATGCGAAGACTATCAGTGACGGTAATTACGAAAGGGCATGGCAACTGCTCGATGAACGCTTCGAAGACAAGAGGCGTATTGTTCATCTACACATTGGAGGCCTCATCAAAGTGAAGAAACTGTTCAAGGAGAACTACGATGATTTACGAATGCTCGTCGAGTCTTCTATCAGCCATGTGAAGAATCTCAAGTTCCTGGGTCAAGAATTTACTGGAGTTTCAGAGCAGATCTTGGTGTACATTCTGGCTGGAGCGCTGGATGACGAAATCAAGATGCACTGGGAGTCTACAGTCAAGCGAGGAGTGATGCCTACCTTCGATGAAACCATTACATTCCTGAAGCACCGTGTCTCCATCCTAGAGCGGTGCCAAATCTAAGCACCACACAGCGAGGCTCAACCTTATTGTGTCAATCTTAAGCCAATAACGTACAAGCCATCGTTCCAAAAAGCCAACGCAGCTACAACACCGACGCAACAAGAACTTCGGTGTGACTTCTGCAGCAGCAATCACTTCACCTACAAGTGTCCATCATTCAAGAATTTATCGATCAGCCAGCGGTTTGCGTTGGTGAGAGAGACAAACATCTGCTTTAACTGCCTCCGAGTTGGACACCGATCGACAGAATGCAACTCTAATAAGACGTGTTTCAAGTCCCAGAAGAAACATCATACCATGTTGCACGAAGAGTCTCCGATGCAGGATGTAGCAGCACAAGGAAATTCTGCAAGTCAACCAGCCATCACGCCGCCGATGGCATCCGGATCTAGTGAAGTATCTTCCTCGTCCAGTTGTGAACAATCCGGCAGTAAGCTGCCAGCGTGCAACCATTCCCAGGCAGTAAAGACTGTCATGCTTCTTACAGCCGTTGTCAATGTGCGAGATCGCAACGGAGGAGTTATTCCATGTCACACCCTTCTGGACAACGGTCCCAGGTAAATTTAATTTCGGAATTAATGTTCAACCGTTTAGGTCTGGAACGAAAGCCAGTGTATCCCTATCACTGGCATAGGAGCATCAAAAACGTACACTAGAGACATCATCCTTGCCGAAGTTCAATCCAGGATAAACAATTCCACCATGGAGATCGAATGCTTGGTCGTTCCCAAGGTAACAGGAGTGATTCCGTCAAAAAAGATCGATACATCATCTTGGCCAATACCAGCTGGTTTCCAAATGGCCGATCCGCAGTTTCATACGCAAAACCATATTGACATGCCTATCGGTGTATCAAAGTTCTTCCGTTTACTAAAGTCAGGATTCTTCCAAATGGCCGATGACCTGCCAGATCTTCGAGAGACCCACTTTGGATGGGTAGTCGCGGGAGATGTAGGATATTCCATTACCGGTCAACAGTATGCACATTCTGCAACGATTGACCAAGTCCACGAAACGATCAGTCGGAATCGTCTCCTGGAAGTGAACAGGAAGAGTGCGAAGCATCGTCCGGCAACGCCTTCACGTACAGGCACGGATCTGATCCCGATTGCGAGAAACCAAGCTCTTTCAGCATCGAACTGATAGTAAAGTTCCACACACGCACCGCCTGCTTTAGGCCGTACAGGCTGCGCTCGATTCTGCAGACCAGTTTCTCTTTCTTTGGAACTACAAATCCCTTAGGCTGCTGCATGTACACTTCCTCTTTCAGCTTGCCGTGTAGATAAGCAGACTTGACGTCCAGGTGATGAACTGACATCTTCTTCTGTCCAGCGATCGTTAGGAGAATCCGCAAAGTCGTCTGAGTTGCCAGCGGAGCAAAAACGGCATCATAATCGACTCCGAACTTCTGCGAAAACCCTCTTGCTACAAGTCGCGCTTTGAACCGAAACACGTTGCCCACGCTGTCGTGCTTCTTCTTATATACCCACTTGCAGCTTATAGGAGCACGACCAGCAGGTAGCTCAACGAGTGTCCACGTTCGATTCTCCATCAGCGACTGGTATTCTTCCGTCATCGCGGCCTTCCACAGCTATGGTATGGCTTCTTCGTACGACACTGGCTCCTCCTGCACCAACATGGCTGCGTTGACTTCATAGTCGGCGAACCGCCTTGGCAGCACGCCTCGGGTGCTCCGCTTTTGACCTTCTTGCACTGGCGCATCCGTTTGATCGGGCTGTTCCTGCTCGGCATCCGTGTAATCTTCCAATTCGTCCTCGCTTTGAGACTGTCCAGGACTTGACACATCTTCTTGCTGCTGACTTCCGTTGCTAGTGATCTCGACTTCAACAAGTTCTTCCGTTGGAGGCAGCCCACCAGGCGTCGGTGGCTCCTACTGAATCTCCACAAACCGAGCATCACGACTAATGGTGATTGCATCTGTCTCGGTGTTCAAGAACCTGTGAGCCTTCCTATCACTGCAGTAACCCACGAAAATCAGTTTCTGGGCTTTACTGTCTAGCTTGGAACGTTTAACGTCTGGGATGTGGACGAACGCAGGACAACCAAACACTTTCAAATGAACTAGTGTAGGTTTCTTGCCGAACCACCTTTCGAAAGGAGTTCTATCAACAGCACGAGATGGCAATCTATTTTGCAAATACGCAGCGGTGGCTACCGCCTCCCCCCAGTACTTTTTATCTAATCCTGCGTCCAGCAGCATGCAGGTGGCCATCTCCTGGAGTGAGCGGTTTTTCCGCTCGGCCACTCCATTCTGTTGAGGGGAGTAGGCCGCAGTATACTGCGCCTGAATGCCTTCCCGCTCGTAAAATGTCTTCAACTCATGGCTGGTGTATTCACCCCAGCCATCGGATCTTATAACGCATGGAGCCCGACCAAACTTGTTCTTGACGTGCGCAACAAAACGTTTAATACAATCTGCCACATCACCTTTCTGCCGCAGTAGGCACACCACAGTGTACCTGCTGTAATCATCTATTATGGTCATCAAATAGCGGGCACCCCCCGGCGTTACGTTCTTCATTGGACCACACACGTCAGTGTGAATGACGTCAAGAACACGTTGGGTCCGATTGCTCGCTGATTTAGGAAATGGAATTCGGGAAGATTTACCTGCAAGGCAGCTCTGACAAACCAGCCTGATCCCACAATCCTGAACCTTGAAGTCCTCACTCAGCTCGTTTCGCCGGATCTCATCCAGCGCCGCTGGATCTCGGTGGCCGAACCGACGGTGCCAGGTATGCTGGCAGTTCTGCAGGTGTCGAGCCTCCTTGCCCAGCCGAGCTTCCCCTGCAACTTTCAAGGCGAACAAATTTCCACGGGGTTCCGCTACTGCCACTACTT